CATGGATGGGGAACTTCAGGTTTGCATATAAGATCTAGCACTACTCCATGCATAATTTTAGGCAAGCTGCTTTACTTCTCTATCTCAGACTTACTATCGGACTGCTGCAGAGAAGGGAAAAACATTTAGTGTACCTCAGAGGGCTGCTGGAATGCATAGAGAATCATTACCTAGTATGTTTGAAAAGTGGAAATATTTTAAGTGAAAAGAAAGTTTTCAAGAAGGTAGAAAGAGAAGAGAGTCTGGCTTGATACCCGAGTGCTATTCTCCGGCAAGGGAGTTTGACAGATGTGCAATTTACTTGATGGGGGGGGTTGAACGTTTTAACCACCATGACGTAAGGACTGCTGCTTTAGTTAAGGTACTATATACCCTAAAGCTAATATACTCTTTAAGCTACTAGACAATGACTTTTGAAAAAAAAATACTGTTTTCAAAATAGAGGTATTTCATCAATCAGCTAAATACCTTTGAAATGACTAAGAAATCAACAGCGTCAATGCCCAAAACACTTACGGAAAGACCACTGCCCTCAGAGCCGTAGCATCTGTCCTTAGCAGGATGGCTAAGGCTGTATCTGTAATGCAGACTGCATGTTGCTTAACAGATCTGAATGTCTGACCACAGAGGCAACTTACATGCCAGTGGTAAATCTCCAGAGGAAGGAAAACTAACTATTTATTTTGGTAGAATATGAGGGGAAAAACATCCACTTTTTTGCAACAGAAACAGTCACTAGATGCTTAAAAACATTACTCCTACATAGGCAAACATATACTGATTATTTCTAAGTATATGCACATTACACAAAGTCAAAGCAGTTTTGATATTTTTAGCATAACCATAAATTGAAGGTAGGGGTCAGAAGTACAGCACACAGATTCCTTGAAGGCCTTGGCACTACAGCAGCTGAGGGTTTGAACATGTTATTTGTGCTGTTAACTGACACTATGGACATCTGATTCTGTTTTGTTAAATTAAAGATCAACTGTAAAACAGAACGAGATTATAAACTTCTCAAAAAGGCAGTTTTTAAAACTTCTTGTTAGGCAAAGCCGTAATTATAATAGTAAGCTTTTCCGATTTACCTTGTTCGTACAAATGATTAAACTAGCCATTACAAAAACAGATGTGTTACATGGCAAGTGACATTCTTTACAACACAGGGATAGCATTTTTGCCACAGAATAACTGAAGTTAACTTGGACTCATACGGTTAATCCAATCAAGGGAAACATAAATGAAAACTGGAGAAATATGGAAAGAAGCGAGGATTTCATGTTAATAATGTGGTGTGTTAAGTATCTACATAAAATTAATAATTTTTTGAGCAATTATACATCGATAATGTCTTCCTTAAGATCCCGTCTTAAGGAAGGTATCAGAATTAACCAAAAATAGAAAAGAAATCATAAGTTAATTTTAATTAAACCACAGTCACAATTGCTACTTGTTAAGTGTACCTGAGGTAGTTTTAAGTGAAAGAGTTTTGGGTACTGCTGGTTGAGCCACCCTCATGCGCCAGTTGCGTGGCTCCTTCCTGTCGGTGTCACAGGAGCAGGCAGTACCTGACGAAGTTCCACTTGGAAACCACCACTGCAGTGGTGTGGAAGGAACGGACACAGTTCTGGGTCTCCGGGAACTCCGTACTGAAACCACTTCTGGTTTATTTGTGTTTGTTAAATTCTGTTAAATACAGAAGCAAGTTCAGCACTCAAAGGCTAATCTTGCACCCAAACAATAAAGAGCATAGTCAAAACACTAACACTCCCATGGGATAACTCATTGCTGAGAAAAGGGAGATCGGGACAGCGTGGGCAGGATGAGGGACTTTAAGACACGTACGTGCAGTGATCCAAGGGTGAAGTCTACCTTTTGCGTAGAGAACCAGAATGTGAGCGCAAAGACTGTCCATTCATTCTTTTAGACTGTAGAATTTTCTCCAAGTACCTGTGTGAAGGAGATAATTGATTGTTATTGATTTTAAATGGGATTTTGATCACATCACACTTGACAGATTTTCCTCTCAAATTTGTACTGGCTTCCTGTATAGTGACTAGGGCAAACTCAGCTGGAGAATTAAAGGTGGGCTCCTTCCAGTGACTGAGAAACAATTACCGGATAAGTAGGTACTTAAAATGCTTTTCTTTTTTGTTTTGCCATGAATGGCGAAGGAGAAAAGCTTTTGAAAACCCACCACTTGAACCGTTCACAGGCACTGGCAGAAGCTCTCTGCCCCATCTTGTCCTGGGCAAAGCCTCTTCTAAGCCACTGTCAAGACCACACATGTATTCCCACAGTACGGCAGTCACTGCACCAGGAAAGTCAGAAAACAATCAAGTACTAACAGCCTGATGCTTCTGAATTAGGGATCCTGTCTTGTGATTCATTTAACATAGCTAACAGGATGTCATACAGTCCAACCCTTTGCAGGAAGAAGCCTTTAAAAAAAAAAAAAGCCCGAGATCCAGGGCTAATAATTCCTGAGTACCTTTTTTTTTTTTTTAATCATTGTTTAATTTGTTGTTTGTTTTATTAGAAGCATGGTACTGGCCCTTGAAAAGGGGACAGCAGCTGGTTACCATTGTTAACATATTAATATTTCTCATTGTGACTTACATTGTTTTATCATTGCCTATAATATCTTTTAAGCATGCAAGTGTGTGTGTATACGTGTCCTCCTTGGATCAGCTTTAGTGAGCTAAATTAGTTGTTTGGTTGGTTTTTTTTTTTTTTTAAATGGAACATTCTGACATTGTACAAAGTTTTAGGGTTTTTTTCCAGTAGCCCTTCTTTTTGCTGTGTATACAGAAGTCTTATGTAGAACTTTCTAAAATAAAGTGTGAATATTTTTATTACTCCTTTGTACAGTATTCTAAGAGAAACTAATAAAGTAAGTATTCATGTAAAAACTTGTGTTTGATTCCTTGAATTTTTACATGGACAGGTTTTGCTTTTAAACAAGCATGGCAAATGAATACTAGATGGCAATTCCAAGCCCACCAAGTGATGGATTGCAGTAAAGCAAAGAGCTTGCAGCACACTGCATGGATCCCTTCACAGGGTACCACACCAGTGAGTCACACAAACCCTCTGCTACTAACAACGAGCCATAAAGCATGGAAACCTGTGTGCATCACTGACCAGAACAAGTTAATGAAGTGCCTCCAGTAACACAATATTGTCCCCTTGTCTGCACCACACCTAATTAGTTAGTGCTCTCACAGGTTTAGTGAAATCCTAAACCAGAACACACTGTTCCTCATCCTTACAGATCAGAAGTATAAATGAAAACCAGAACCACGCTGGAAATGAAACAAAATCTTATAGGAATGATACATCTGTAGAATAAGTTAAGTTATCCACAGCCACTGCAACAGGTCATGACAAGCTGACTCAAGTCAATGACTGAAACTTTCTGGAGGGAGAGTTATGCAAGCAACAGGCTTTTTGTGCCCTAATTTAGCAGATGCTTCCGGATCTCCGACAGGAAGGTGGGGAGAGAGCACTTCCCGAGCCCTCCTGCTTTAAAGGGCCATATCACTTCAGAAGCACAGCAGACTGCTCTGCCCGTTGCCCAGGACGGTAGATGAGAAGCCATTTGCTCCACAAATAGGCAAGTACATTTTTAAGAGCTCTCGGTATGGAAGAGGGGTGGAACAAACGGTCTGTTAAGTGTTCCTGTTTAGTTTTTAATCTCTTTTTGAAGTCTCCCAAGGGAATGAGTCCTGCAGGTACCACTAAAATGATCCCACATTAAGCACACAAGACTATTTCCCCTCCCCAGCTCCATCATGTACAACACACCATCCTTTGTGATGTGACAGTCCTTCTACTTTCTGGAAAAAATCGGACTAAGTCAGTTTCTTTTTTTCAGACCCCTGTGGGACATTAGGGAGAGGGAAGATATCCCCCGCCACGCACTCACCTGATCTGTAAATGCGGATCAGCATCTCTTCTCTAACAAGGCTTGATAAAGTAGGGTGCAGAAGAGGGGAAAGACCTGCACGCTTTTCTTCTTCTCAATAAGTGCAGGAAGTTTTTTCATTTGTAGATCAAAATTCTTCTTCATCACGTCTTCAGTACGCCCACTGAAGCACGAAGCAAAACTGAAACTTCGGAGTAAAAACAAGCTGCAATAGGAAACAAACCGTGATTTTGTTTCTGCCTCTCAAACACCCAACTCTCCTCTGCAGGGGATACAGGCAGAGAACCAGGGCATACCCATGTAGCTGATCTGGGATGATTTTTTTATATTTTGGGGGAGATTTTCCATAGAACAAACTCTCCTACTTCCCCCCGTCAACCCACTGTTCACGTCTCAGCACTTTCACTTCCTTGCAGCAAGACTTAGATGAAACAATTTTTCTAACACTCTATTTCAAAACAATGCTAAACCATTCCTGTCTGCCAGGCAACGAGATGCACAGGAAAAACACTGAAGCAGTAAAAAAACAGCAAGAAATTGTTCAAGCTTTTTTTTCTTTTTAAACTTGTATCAGGGCAAAGCATTAAAGATTAACCTAGGACCTATCATGGTCCTAAATGCTTCAAGGACCAATGTCTAGTTTAGTAATGAAAATTATTATGGTATGTACTGGTATATGCTACGAAATATCTTAACTGAAAGGACAGTAAGAGACTCCAGAGCTGAAGATCAGTACCCCCAGAGACGGCTAGCTGTGTTCTCAGTCTGCACAATGACTGGGAGTTCATCACCAAAGGGGGATGAGTCTAAACAAGGCTCATCAGCAAGGCACAGCTCGTACTCCCACCCCTCCAAATGCTTCCCCATACACCATCCTGTGAAAGCTGTGTCCTTGTACTAACATGGGCTTTTTTGGGTTATCATCGATTTTGAAAAGTACTTTAATTATTAAAGTAACATATTTTGTTACAACCTTCTGCTTGTATTTCAAGTAATTTTGCTTAACTTGTCTTGCCTCTTTCCTAGGGCACAAGTACACTTCGCTTTGGTTCAAAAATTCTGCCACAGCAGGATGTTTAAAAAAGTCATCCAATCCATAGTAAACCAAATGGATCCAAGAGGAGACCTGGTCCCAGTTCATAGCATCTTAGACCACGAACATTTCAGACCCCTCTGTCTAGTGAGAAGAAAAAGAAAAGCCATATTCCACCCATCTCCCTGCTACAAACGGACATGGTACAGACTCGACGATGTGCTGCTGCCTGGAGAAGACAATAAAAGCACAGGTAAAGCCCACATTTATCAATCTTAAGTTCACAATTTCCATAGACAAAACACGTGGCTCATCATGGCCGAACTCTACCATGTTCCATCTTTCTCGTGTGTGCAATAGTTATAATATTGAGTCTGTGTAACCATGCTTAAGCTAATGCATCAAATTATTTCAGAGTCCCTCTTTCCCAATGGAGATGGTCAAGATTCAAGGCAATTTACAGTCAAAAAAAGTGTCAGTGACAGAGTTGATGGGAGTCTAAGCCTTTGTGTTGACCCTACAAGCGTAGAGCTGAAAGGAGCTGCCTCCTTCTCCAAACAGTGGTCCATCAAGCTGGAGAAGAACTACATACCAGTACCAGAACTTGAGGCACTGAAAACAGAAAGGTAAGGCAGACAGGAAGGGAGGCACGCCCTCCGGTCACCCTCCTCTACCCCACACCAGGTCACGCAATGGTTTTCAACAGCCAAAAACCAAGATTAAGACCCAAGAGCATGCATTCTCCCTAACTATACATACTTCTGGAGGACAGCAAAGAGAGGCGATAAAGATTCCTTACACAGCTTTGTAATGCTTACAGATTTCTTTGTAATTCAGAAAGTGGGGACACCTCAACATGGAGTCACAAGCCACCTTTTCTCACGGTTTGTACCTGAGGAGGAGCACGCAGATCAGGACAGATCACCTGCATCACCTGCCAGGCCACGGCCTCGCTCCCCGGTCCCCCTCAGACACAGAAGGGGAACGCGCTGAGGACAGCAAGAATTACAGCCCATTTTCTGCCACCTTTTTCCCCCAGAAGCCCCTCATATTGTGATATTTACGTGTACATGTATGCAACGTGAAAGGACACAAGCATAAGGCTTTTGGCTCTAAGCAGGCTACGGTACTTTTGTCATAACTCGCAGAAAAAAGTCACTTTTAGTCAGAATATTGCATCCCTTTTCTCTTTTAGGAAAATGAATGTGAATCACTCCTTCATTCAACAACTAAAGAAAAAACGACAAAATTTATATGTGGTTCACGAAACAATAGAAACCTTAGAGGAGGCCAGCTACGAGGAATCTACCAAGGCAGAGGGGAGCTTCATGTCCCAGCTTTACGCCAAGTTTTGTGCAAAGGTTAGATTTCTCTTCAGCCTCAGGAGTCAGTCCTTCCCAAACATCTGCACGCCATCCAGGCCTAGTAACAGATTTTTTTCATTGACCAGGGCACCAGAGAGAACAAACAAAGCATAACTATACCCAAGGGCTGCACCCTGGCATTCAGGGCAATCCAGCTGGCCATTACAGACGGATCATGGGGTAAGTAACTTTCAGAAACTACCAACTCCTCTGTTCTGGAAACAACACAGAAGAGGAAGAACATTTTCTGAAGTATTCAGCCTCATGGCCACCCTTAGCTCATTCGCAAGGACATGAACACATGCAATATGAGTGACAGAAAATCACCAGGGAAAAGGCCGTACATAGTACGTAAGTCAAAAGAGCTACTTGGGAAAGACATGCAGTTTTAGGGGAGGTGGTAAGGAAATTAAAGAGGGATACTGGAATTCTCAGCTCTAAATTTCAGGAGCTGCAGAGCTCCTGTTGAAAAATGGCACGGAAGGCAGAGGTTTGTTTTGTTTTCTTTTTCTACTCAGAAAAAGAGAGCCAGGGAGAAAACAGGCTGGCTGACCCTTCAGTGGGAAGACTGGCGTAAAAGATGCTTATGCTGGATAGGTAGAGAAAAAGAGGACTGCGATCCACAAAACCTGCTGCAGGATTTTAGAGACCATGTTTGGCTCGTTTCCCACGAGCTCCCCACGCCTGCCTGGATCTTGCTGAGTATAAGCTGTCATTTTAATTGACTTGTATTTTAACACACACATTGGCCAACAGAGACCCCAACATAAGGCACCATTTTAATTGACTTGTATTTTAACACACATATTGGCCAATAGAGACCCCAACATAAGGCATGTGACAGTAGGGAATGATGTCTAGGAATAACCAGGTTTAAATGAAGGGGCATAAGACAGATGCGCTGGAGAAGAGTGACCTACGACTAGCACATGAGATTTCAGACTTGGGATACCGGTATCTTCAGCCTTAAAAACAACCCTGGTAAAAAAAAAACCTATCCAGCTTTAAGTATTTGTCTAAATGAGCAATGCCCTTTTTATCCTGTCGCAGATCTTGAATATTTCCCAGAAGAAAGCAGATCAATGTTCGTATCTGATGGTAAGCAATGTATTTTACTACTTCCACTTGCGCTACTTTTACCCCCTTTGGGTAAGATGGAATCTCTCAGGATAAACACAAACCACCAGAAGCGATGTGTTTACTGTAGAGTACTGCCTGTTACCTGAAAAGTGACAACTTGCCAACTCAAAATGGCATATCACTTTCAAAAATATTCATAGAAATGTTTCAAATTCTAAATTTAGGGAGGCCAGGGAACTTATTGTGGGATTGTCTAGTTTACCAGTGACATATTTGGACTCTCTCTGGTTTTCAGGTTTCTCACAAGGCAAGTTAGGAGCACTGGAGGAAGAAGTTAAAGAGAACTGTCAAGTTCTCTCCAAGTTGTCTTCTGATCTGCTCATCATATTTTTAAAAGCCATCAAAGCAGTGATGAGAGACAGGAACCTCTTTCAAGAGCTGACCCAGAAAGTAAGCAAAGTTCTTCTTCCTGCCAGGATTTATAAATACAAAGACATCCATGATCATCTCTCTTGCCCCAGAAGTCACCTCTCCTGTGCCACAACTATCAATCCAAAAATCCTTCACTCAGCGCATCTGTCTGGTCTTCATCACCATACAGAGAAAGGAGGTGCTCAGGACAGAGTTAACTGCTGAAATATGTCCTGAATCTAGCCTAGCAGATTTACCTGAAGGTATCAAGCCATTTAAATTTCATATTCTATCTTTAACTGGAGCCAGTGTGAATGCTAAAGCCTCAATTACAGCCTCATACACAGCTTAGGGAGGGGAGACACATACTAAATGACTGTTCATATGCTTCTGTAGTTAGACTGCAAGGGACTATCAGCAGCCTCTTCTCTTAAATCCTAATGTTTCTTTTTCTTTTCCACTTAGATGGAAGCAGTTCTTGATGAAACTGGTAGTTGCAAGTTGGAAACAGAAAGCCCAGACTTAAGAGACCTATTGAGCAGCTTACAGTATTCTTCAAGACATCTTCTCCTTAAGCTGGCAGGAGCAATCGCCTACACTCTTGACGCATTAGATGGTAAGGCTTTCTTGCCATTTTCATAGAGAAATCCAGTAGCACCAGAATATATTAAGAGCATTCCTACCGACAAGACTAGCAGAAAAACTTACAGAAAACTTACAGAGCGCGAGAGGCTTGCAAAGGATTTATGTAACATCATTTCTTAGATTGTGGGAATGAAGGTGGTTTATGCTGAGAGCACAGACCTGTCCGAGGCAGCTGCTGCTCAGCAACAGTTGGAGAGTCGCAGAGCAGCGACTGCCAGGAGCACGACGTGGAATTACCACTCGGTCCAGGAACAGGGTGCACAAGGGGATCCTTGAAAAGAGAGCTTGAAATCAGAATTAAAATGTGCATAAAGACGACAAGATCGCCTCACAGAAAGAGCAGTGCAAATTCCAGGGTTCTTTTCCCCAGGCTGCCACAAAACATGGTTTGAACCTCCCCTCAACCCCTTGGTCTCTACACTCGATGTTACAGTCACCTGTTCAGAGCAACAGCTGTATTCGTCACGGAGGGAGGGCGCAGTAATAATTTAGTTTAAAACGTCTGAAGAACTTTTGACTAAACAGGCAAGACAGTTGATGGTCGCCCTTCACATCTCGCCAGTTGTCTCTGAAACATTGGTTTTTGGAACAAACCTGTTTTAATTCTGCAGAGCTAACGGAGGATCAGCTGCTGCTATTACTAGAGTCTTTGGAAGAGAAGGTTGTGTCCCAACAGCTTAAGCTGGTGAGAGAACATGCATGGTGTTTGGCTCAAAATGAAGGGGCAAGGGGGTCTTATTTTAAGTAAAGCAATATTTAGATGATGATATAGGTAGCAGTATCACAACTTAAGTAACACTGGGAAGAAGGGAAGAAATAATTTCTTCAAACTTGGCAGGGATCAAAATAGTCACTTTAAGAGAAATCACCCCAAGACATGAAGACATAAGATTTCTAACCACTGTTTTGCTGATAATAAACATTAAATTGGACACAGCTGACTACCATTATTCTTGAAATGGTAGTCAGAACTTTCTGGCTTCTTTGGCTCCAGATTTAAAAAGAAAAAAAAAAAAAAACACGAAAACACACTACAATTTTAATTTCTTGGACATAACTAATGCACAAGAAACTGGGAACTGAATACATGCACATGATATCTTTCAGGGTGAAAAGTGCCATATATAAATGTGGATTATTTAGTGCACCTGTAAGAGGTAAAGCACTTCACAAGTCAAAGAGATCATTTACTTAACGACTTCCACAGACAGCAGTATTAAAATACTGATTTTGGGTTTTTTTGTTGTTGCTGCTAAGGTTGAGAGCATCTTGGAACATGACATAGAACACAGGAAGGAGCACTTCAGTGTGGATGCCAGCGTGCTCTCCTTCTCACGAGAGAAGGAACAAAAAATAACCATTGCAATGGTTGAGATGAGTGGAGTGAAGCTCCAGGAAGACGGATCTGCTGTCTGTATGGAAGAAGCCTTCTCGGCCGTAGCAGCCCTGTACGTGTCTCTGTACGTCCTCGATCTTCTGAGTAACTCGGATTAGGTTACATGTGTCCTCCCATTAGAGATGATTTAAAGAGAATCACTTGACAATGTATTTGAAAGTCTCTTACTGCAAGCCAGTTTGTCTCTCCAAACTTCACCTCTCCATAGGGGAGGCATTCCTTATTAATGCTCAGTGCTGATTTGAAATGAGTAGGACAAGCAGTTTTAAGGCAAGAAAACTCCTTATGGAAGCCAGAAGCTGGATACCAAAATTGATTTTTCCTTCCCCCCATATGAATGCAGAGTGCCAACTGAAAAATCCACTAGTCCAAAGAATCACAAGCCTGTCAGTTGCATTTTATGTGGTCTTGGTTTTCCTAAAAAACGCTAGCACACAGCCACTCATGCAATCGATGAGGCACAAAGAACTAAATCAGCAATAATTCACCTACCCTGGTCACACCTGCAATTTGTGTGTGACTCAGTAAGCTGCTAAGTGGTAGAAAGCTGTGGGCTCTCAGAGCATTTTAATAATGCACACCTGGTAAAACAGCACCACCATCACATGACTACACACCCCACCAGCAGCAGTAAGGAATAAATTACAACATTTTGGAACAATGTTAAAAATAGTTTGATGACTACTTTATAAATAAAGAGAATAATTTCTTACTGAGTAACTGGATGTTCTTAAAGGCAATTTTTTAACCTGCAGGTATTTTCAGTCACCCAGCGGTGCTGCCTGCCTGGAGGCCCGGCTCCCCTCAGGCTCCCAGCGGAAGGGGTGCCCTCAGCAAGGGGGGGTGCTGCTTACCTGGGTGGTCACTGATGGCTCTGAGGGCATCACCAGCACGCGTGGCCTGGCCATGCTCTGCACCAGCTACGAGGGGAGC